TGATTTTGAATAGTGATATGATGGGAAATGTGTGGTTGAAAAAGAAGAAAATATTATTGACGTGATGGAAAATATTATTTTATTGAAAAATGTGTAGTTGAAAATGAGAATTGATTTACTGTAAAAAAAATCAAAATCCCTTCCAAACAAGGCCTAAAGATTTTTACGCCTCAAAAAGCAGCCGTTCAATTGAGCGGGAATTTTTTCATAATTTGAAATTTAAATCCGACAATTATCATCATACCATCGATTTATTCTCTGTTTCTGGGCATTCTTCCTTGTTACTCTCTCCGCGCCCGTCTATTAAAGGTTCATTTCACGCCTGTAAGTTTCTCAATTATTCGATAATTAAACTAGGGTTCTTCTTCAACTTAGTCTTCAATCTTTTAATTATTTTTGCAGAGTGATAGTTTAAGAACAAAGCAACAAGTGGGTTTTGAAGTAAATACGAAATGGGTCAGATCCAGTACTCCGAGAAGTACTTCGATGACACTTATGAGTACAGGTAAGATTTTAAATTATCATAATTTTCCCTTTTTTCTGTCACTTATTTTCGAATAATTTTTGGGCGATTATGGAATTTTCAGGCACGTGGTTCTTCCACCAGAAGTGGCCAAACTACTTCCCAAGAACCGCCTTCTCTCCGAAGTAAAGCCATTTATCTGTTTCTGCTCATATATAGATAGGATTTATATTTATGATTTTTCAATTTTAACGAAGATGCTTATTTCTCATGGCTTGGCTAATGAGAAAATAATTAGGGCTTATAGTACTGTAGATTCTTAATTCGAATTTATCTAGGATTCATTGTGAAAGAGAAAACACGGGATCATAAGCAAAATTAACTTTTTCATCGATGTTCACTGCTTGATCGAACAAGATTAGTGACATAACTGTAAGATTACACGATAATTTATTTTAGTTATCTATAACCCTTGATTTGCGTTATAAGTCTAAGTTTGAGAACTGGGTTTTGCGTTTTACAAGAAATGTACCTGGACTTGATTCTTTCTTATCAAATCAAGTTTCTGAAGATTTTGTATTCATTTTTTTCATTCTTTTAAGATTGGGAATTGCGTGTTTGTGTTTTCCAAGAAATGGTATATGGAGTTGATTTTTTTAATAGTTATTGGTTTCTCAATGTTTTCTAGA